TAACGAAATTGCATTAAACTAATATAAATAAGTTTCACTAATTGTAAGTCAACTATTAAGCGTTTATAAATTCTTCCTTACGTAACATTTGATATTGTATATTAAATAAAATATTGTTTCTATAAACGATTGTGAACGGCTTCTCTTCTCTTCGATATGTAAAATAAAGTCAATAGGAATAGTCTTCATGTTTAACTGAAGTAACCTCGAGGACAATATGGAGGGGTCATTTTTCTCTAAATGTCACTGAATTCTAAAGTGTTTTCTTCATTTGATGCATTCGTGCGTCAGATACCTTGAAAAAATATGACGCAGAGAATAATAGTACCGAACAACAGACGTCACCTAACGGGGTACACCGAAAATATGTAATTTCGTGTCTTAGAATATTCAGTAATCATTAATCAATGCTGAATAAAATTAATATCCTCGATTATTTGATTGTAAATTATTGCACAAGTTAGCAACGTACGAAATCGTAAAGTTCACGGTTATTAATGTGTCGTATATAGTATAAAATGGTTCCGGGTTTACTAACATTCATTAATTGAGACCAAGAAAGAATTCTATCGATTTATAGCGGACCTTGACGTTATAAATTACACGGAGGGACCATCATGCAACAATAAATTTCGTACTCATTTTATTGGAAATAATCTCGAAAAAACAAGAAACACGCACATGAGAATAACTTTTTTTTATGAAGCTTCATTACATACATATGGTGCGACTGGAAATTAACAATAAATAATTGAGGGGAGATCCTTTGTGAACGAATTTTAATAAATATTACCTTGACGTGATTTATCTTATAAGTTGATATAAATATAGATTACTGTAGTAGACATACTACATGAGACGTAACAAAAATATTAAAGAATCTCTTTCAAAATATGTTATTCGAAGATTCTGCGAAATAAAAGATAATCTCCCAATATAATTATTAGCAAGCACGATATAAAGATTGCAGAAATGTAAAAAATGTAAGGTAGACAAAAAAAAAGATGACACGTGATGATATCGACAATATTTATAAATGAAACTTTGATCTTTCGTGACATCTTGTTCACAAATTTGAAAATTATTTAAAATAATTATCTAGATCAGTGATTCTCAACCTATTTTCCGTGACGGTATACTTTTAATAATTTAAACATTTGGCGGCTCACTAATAATAAGATAAATTAGAACGTTTTACTATAATTATTAGCGTAGGATAATAATTTTCAATGAAAAATAAAATGGAAATTGCATTACAAAGCAAACAAAATACTTATTTAATAATAAATTACAAATTACATTTCACGTGAGATTTGAGCTTGATGTTTTTCGATAACTTTATTTATATTTGAGATTCAGATTTATTTCATATTATTCATTATTTCATATTATTATAATTCAGATTTAAAAGCCTGGATCTTTTTTTAGTTTTTATGTTAGTCAAAGCTGAAAATCCGAATTCGCCAAATAAATATTTGAACTGAATCCAGTGTCAAATGATGAAAAAATGTAAAAAAGATAAATAATTTTCATTTCAGGAGGGATCACAGCCTGGTAGTTGCGGCAATTCAAGAATCTCGCGGTGGTTGAGAATCATTGACTTAGACATAAAACATAGTAAAATCACTCATGGAACTTTTTCTTCACCAAGAAACTTCCTGTTATACATATAATCTAAACAAGTTATGCAGGTATACGAGTTTTTCGTGTTATAATTCCAGTTCCGAAAATAAAACAGAATTATTGTTCTATTTTTAATAATGCGAGTTGCATTGAGAGAAAACTCAATTTTTGTAACTTCTATAAAATTGTCTATTAGTAATTATTATATTTCGTTATTATAGTAGATAATAAAAATTCGGATCTCAATAACATTACTCTGAAAAACACATCGTAGACTCGTACAGAATGGCAACCTGTTTTTGATAATCGAAATACCATACCCGGGTTTTACCCTGAAAAACAGGTTATACATTTGTCTTTTTATTTTTCCAAACTCAGGCGATATTAAGGTAAGGCCCACAGCTCGGACCCTCTTTCGAACCAAAGAAGTGACAATGAGACTCCCAAAGATCGATACTGATAAAAAAGAAAAATTTTACTATCAATGAAATGACAGTGTTACTTCCTTTGAATTCTCATACATGAAGTTAGAATGATAAATATTTTAGCGGGTCATACTTATTTAAAGTATTTAAACGATGCTCCACACGTAACAAAATTAACAATTTCATTAACAAAGTCAAGGCATAAATCATTTCTTCTATTGAAGTGCATTGATTACTATCATCTGTCTCTGACTCTGAATAACTAGAAAAGTCGTGAACATTATCTCCTTCAGCGTCGTATGGGGGTTAATGATCAGGAGACAGTATAAAGCAGAGTGGACACAAGATTCGTGCTCACTAATAAGAAGAGAGTAGGGAGGAAGTGTGTAGCCACGAACGACGCAAAGTGGCTTGCCGAATTTTTACCTGAAAGCCACGCAATTATAGTTTTCCATTAAGTTTCTACAATATTTAACAGCGAAAAGAGCGCAGATTTTCTTCTTATCTTAAAATTACGATCTTAATCGTGCAATGGAAGTGTGAAAAATATTGTTCGTAATCAGTGCCACCGAATTACATTGCAATTTCATGGAATTTTAAAGTTCATGAAGATCTTGTAAAATCGAGCTCCTTTTCGGTAAGTAAAATTACGTACAATTGTCTTGTAATGAATTTCGTTAATTCTTAGTTTTAAAGCCAGTTTTTGAAAAGTAGCTTCCCGACAAAATTGATCAATTAAAATACATAATTGGAATTTTGAAAAGTATCTTCAATTGAAGTTAATAAATGGCTTAGTGAATTTTAATTATACGAGAAAAATGTTATTTTCAACAATGGATAAATGAACAAATGTTTCTTGCTTGATTAAAATTATTTTTCTCGCTACTTCAAAAGTATCGCACGTCGGCTAAAAATTAGGTGGAGAATAGTTTTCGAGTTGAACGGAAAATAATAGTCTATGAAATATCCTAACACGCTAGCGTTGTTGTCTAAACATGCAGATTTCATTTTCTCCGATCACTCCGGTAGGTCTCATTCCGCCAAGAGATGCCTAATAGACACGCGCGTCACGCACGATTCTGCATAACACACTCTCTTTCCTATTTTATGTTCTCATGTTGATGCAACACGCGTATTCAAAAGATGACAAAATAGCTTGGATCGCCTTACTTTATAGTGGCCTCCATAATATATAAGCTGATTGAGGTTCCGCGAAATCAAATTATAATAGAAAAAGGAGAAGAGTGGCATTGCGAAAGATTAACTCATGCTTATCTTATGCTTCCTAAGCCAACTGATCTTACAAATTCCATATTGCGTATTTGAAATCGAGCAAAAACAAATTTAGTTGTTCACATTCTGTAAGACGAAAATTTATAAATTAACACGCTAAACTTGAATGTAAACAATCTGTAATTTAATATGTAATAATATAATTCCTAATACTTCATAGAACTAAACATTGTAAGTATTGAGATTTTTGTACAAGCCGTATAGGCCCAGCATTGAAATCACCGATCGAAAGCAATCATTCGCGAATAAACTTTAATTTTGCAGGCATTTTGATGAAAAAAAAGAAGTGTGCTATCTTTCTCTATATTTGATAATCTAAACATATACGAATATTTTGGATACCAGATTTTTAATACTACATTGAGTTAATTTAATTCTGATAAAATTTCGAACGGTAATTATTAAAAATAAGACAATCGTGTATATAGACGTCGATTATTTATAAGCAGAAAAAATGGCAAAAATGCAAATGGCAAAAAAAAGGAAACATATTCAGTGACCTACCGATTAATTTATGTGGAACGTAACATTTAAGTAACATTCTTGTTTTGACACATTAACCAGAAGTATTTCCTGAAACGGTAAAAATGAACAGCATTTTATGTAAATAGCGGGGAAGTTGAATATCAATAAAATACGAAACGCGATGAAGAACATGCAAGAGTCGATAAGCTAACTTTATCTTAAGACAAGCTTAATTTTTCACATAATTATCTATTAAATCGTTGAACAATTTTAACAAACCGTCTTTACATTTAAACTGCATCTTAAGATATTGTCCACACTTCTGATGAGTGCAAGATGTACAAATAGAGAATGTACAAAGGAACATTATCCAATCTCTCTAATTAATTTAACAATAGTTTCGCGATGTCCTCGCCACGAGAGTGATTCATTATTCATAATAAAAAGTTCAGAAGCAGTAGCTTCTTGTACCCTTTCTTGTCACCATCGATTATAATTGCTAATTTTCGATATACATCGTGATTGAAACGAAGATCGATAACAACGCGACATAGTTAAACAAGTACATCGAGCCGTGACTCACGGGAATGAGAAAACCGGAGAAATAAGAAGCTCGGAAGGAACAAGGAACAGAGACTTCATTGGGGAAAGAGGAAGACTCAATTTGGCCTTAACTAGTGTATATAACCGGCTAAAGCGTCAATCACTTCGACAAACCTCACTGTTCAGTCGTTTAGAGCTTGCGACGTACGTTTTTTCTTACGGTTCAAACATATTATTTATAACTAACATATGTACCTACGTCTGCGGTCTTTCCCGAGCTGGCTTTGTAGAATTCTGTAGGTGTTTGCACACCTTTTTTCGAACTTCCTGTTCGTACGAACGTGCGTACTGTTCAATCAGTCTTTTAACGGACACTAAACGCGAACCCGTGTAAGATATACGCGCGAGTCAATTCTTGCACCGTGACGATTCTAAGGAATACGGGTTTCGTTCCTTTTCCTAAAAAGGAATATGAAAAGTTACAAGAAAGGCATACTAAAATCAATAGTTCTAAACTACCTTTCACTGAAAGTAGCATGTTTAGTTTTTGACTATGAAATAAATTTTAAAATCTTTTATACTGAAACGCGTCAGTTCTCGCTACAAAAGATACAGTATGCTAATATTCATAAAAAACGTGTTCCTTTATTTGAGAAATTCATAAAAGGTCACACTATCTCGTTGGGAACCTTTTTCCATATTCATAGATATTCCAAACTGTTTCTTGGTCACCATTAAGTGAAAAATGAACACCATTTATAAAAGTCACACTACACTGAGTAAACGATAAAAGTGTGTCTAAAGAAATATATTAAATGTTTTATTTTGTATAAAAGTCCGCAATCTAGGAATCATCTAATTTACGAGTGATAAAGATAAACGAGAATACCTCAACATTTATGCTGCTGCATGAAACATAGAGAATTTTTATAAAAAATAAATGTAATTTCTTAATTACAAAATCAGCCATAAGGTATTATATTGTACCTCGCATTTATATGCGTCGGCGTGTTTTAACAATGCGAGGATGTAAATTACAATTATTTCTTACTTAATGTCTACTTCAATTATCAGATCGATATGTCACCTTTAAAAAGTAATTTGCAGTATATACTCGCTTCTGTTTCAGAGTCTTTCGATCAAGGAGACGAAAAAAGGAAAAGAACGAAACGCGTGTAAACCAGGTCGCAACCATGAAATTCACCATTCCGTTACACCAATACAAAAGTGAGTAAGCCACGCGTGTATAAATGTTGCCTCTGTATTGTTGCCCATTGCCAATATTACCACTTAATAACAGAATGCAAATACGGTGTCAAGCCTTGACTAATTGTCGTTAGCTAATGGCTTAATTACACCAAAAAATATTACCGTCGTCGAACGGAACGATCACACTTCCTCCTCATCTCTTTATTTTTCTTCACGCGTACCGACAAATCATTTGAATTACAAAGCGTTCTATACAATCAATTGGCTAAAAAACTAATATTTGATGCAGGAACTGAAAAGAAAACAGAAATACATTAGAACGACGTCTTTTAAATCTTATGAACTCACGTCCGTACGATAATAAAACAGTTCAAGTTTGGGGTTGAACATCTTCATCTTTAATACCGTAACGCGTATTCAGTTTCCCGTTCGTTCGTAAAGGACGCTTAAACTACTTGTTATTATAAATTTTAAAAACATTTGAGACAATTTATGTTTCCGCGTACGTTGCGTGCGACAACTTTTTATTTACACTACTTGCTTAAGTGGTTTAAACACCGTCTCATGCAGACGTCTGATCGACAATGTTAAAAATGTTGTGGATAATTCTATGACGAACTGCGATGTGCCAATGTATTTTCCAAGGAAGTCAAAGTTCAAAGACATCGTTGTTTCGATTCACAAGAAGGATAAAAATTACTTATTCAGATCAAGAATAAGCTGTAACACATGTAATCAGTTGTTTACATTATCAAAATACACATAAGATTTTTATGCGTAGATAGTAGAAAGTTTGAAAACTTAAATCGCTGTTGAGCAATCGATACCTTGAGATCGCTAAACTCATTAAATGGACTGGCGATCATTAATGAGACGTAGAAGGTCAGAAATTGATTGAAATAAAGGTCGGGACGTCTATATACTGATTGACATCTGTCACCAAAATACTTTCATGCATTAAAGAATTTAAAATGAATTATGTTTAAATACATGCATACAAAGTAGTAAAATACAAAGAGTCCACGTGAGAATATATGTAGGACATCAAAAGTATACTTAATTGAAGAATACAAACAATTTCGTCGTAAATTTCATTTTTTGAATTTAGTTTCCGCATAAACACCTCAACCTGTTAATTAGCATTATAATGAATAGCAGCAAAAAATCTGCAGCGTACACTTTCGTGTGTATCTCGAATTTGAATAAAATAATAATTTTCAAGAAATGTGTATATTCATGAACGTTCTCTAGACCGGATGTTCGAACATCCCCATGAGTCATCGTACCGATAACTTTCGTTACAACATAACTTGTTCAATAAATTGGGTATCGGTAAATCATTGATAGCTGGACGAGCCGCCGTGAAAGAAATTCGGGGTCCGTCCTAATTAATGACTCAAGCCGTCGCATTTGCATAATGTATTTTCGAAATAAATTAACCGGCGTCGTAAAGCTATCTTAACTATTTAAAGGTCTCAGTCATGAGGCAGATATGTATACATATATATTACAGTGCTCATGCTGCCATGTATGTTAGATTATGTGAATCAGAAGTACGCAGTAGGTCGATCGACACACAAATGTCTCTTTGGTCTTGACCACGAGAAACGTACTCGTCCATGATCGATAACATTTTCCTATGACAATAATTACTCTTTTTTGACAGTAGGGAAATTATAATTTTTCAGCAAAAGAACTTGTCCCAGAGAACGCTTCACTCTCTGATATATACATATTTTTACTTCGTTCAGTTTATAAACGATAATAAAACTAACATGTATATAGAGCTGACGTGTTTATAGAATGTAGATAACTTTCTACTGTGACATTCGTAATTCTGACATTACACGTGGAATCGCGTTGACACATAATGTTAATATTACTTTACGACTCTCCGAATCTCAAAAAATTGTAGATTTTAATTAGAAGAAATCAAATGTTAATCAATTCCCGCACGCGTGTTTCTGCATGGAAGTCGTCAACATTTGATTAATGCATCTTCCTCCCGTTTCCCGATTGTCATTATTTACTTTCTGTTTTCATTTTATTAGTTTGCGGATATCAAATCGATCTATCATTTGCTCGTGCATAAACTACCAAGAATACAAGTTTCATATTCATCTTAGTAGAGTAACGGAAGTTGATTTGACACTAATTATATTCATCATTAATTTAAATCAAATAGACAGTTCACATCAAATATTGACAATTAATAAGACGATAGTAAGAAACCATTTCGTGGACGAATTCAGTGGCTGTACAAGCCCAAATAATCCAACCACTTGTATCATAACTCGCATCGTATCATTAAACATCCATAAGTCTTAGGACATTTCCAAGTGTCGTCCATCAAAAGATTGAACAAATCGGCATTCTTTAAGGATGTATTGGCTATACAGTGAATCTCAAAAGTTTATGTACCTTAGAAAAACGCATTTCCTATAATTAAAAAGAAATCAAACGTCGGAAGAACAATGCTAATAACAAATAGCTACGTGCTAAAAAGTATAGAAGGAAATATCCGATTAATTATTGACGATAGCGAAAAGTTTATTATACAGATATTGTAGGCACTGATGTCCTCTACAAGAAAGATTCTATGTATTTTTCTTCTAACTTGAGTATTTAACGAGTTAAGTATGATTATTTGGCATTTTATTGATGTTGACAAAATCCGACCATCCCAGCGTCGAAACAGCGAACTTTTGGAAAAAAATTTCGTTTTTCCTTAATTACTCCTAAACCGTTGTACATACGGAAAAATTGCATACAACCTTTCTTGTAGAGGACGACGAGATCTA